AATACAGCAAATAGAAACGCTTATTTTAGGAAGAGGAGAACGTAAACGCGTTACCTAGGCATCAGCCGTAGGATTACGAAATTAGACTCGAACTAGGGAAGNAACCTANATTTAGACCTATCTATACGTTATCCGAAAAAGAACTTAAGACGCTTCGAGAATACCTGGACGAGAACTTAGTACGAGGATTCATCCGAAAATCAGAATNCNNTATAGGTTACCCGATTCTGTTTANACTAAAGAAAGACGGTAGCTTACGACTNTACGTCGATTACCGAAAGATTAACGATATTACTATTAAGAATCGTTACCNATTNCCGAATATTAAAGAACTATAAGACCGCCTTTCGAAGGCTAAGTGGTTTTTAAAGATTAATCTTAAAGGAGCCTATAACCTTATCCGAATAAAGGAGGGAGAAGAATAGAAGACTACGTTTCGAACACGCTACGGGCACTACGAGTACCTAGTTATACTATTTAGTCTTACTAACGCCCCGGCTACCTATTAGATAATAATTAACGACACGCTACGAGAATATCTGGATATTACAGTTATCGCGTACCTAGACGACATTCTAATATACACTAACGGAAACCTGGAACAACACGTTAAAGATGTATAATAAGTCTTAACTAAGCTTTAAGAACGGAGACTTAAGGTAAACCTAAAGAAATGTAAATTTTACGTTAAGGAGACTGAGTTCCTCGGCTTTATTATTAGAGTCGACGGCATTCGGATTAATCCTACGAAAATCAAATCTATTAAAGAATGGCCTACTCCGAAGAACCTTAAAGAAGTACAATCGTTCCTTAGACTTGCTAATTATAATAGGAAGTTTATATTAGGTTACTCCTAGATAGCGTTACCGCTTATAGAACTTATAAAGCAGGATACTCCATTTATATAGAAAGAACGGTAACAGAAAGCTTTCGAAGCACTTAAATAGGCATACATCGATAGACCTACTCTAAGAATGTTTAACTTAGGAAAGCTAGTCTATATCGAGACCGATACATCCGACCGAGCGATTAGAGTATGTCTTACGTAAGACTACGAAGGGAAAAGACACCCCGTAGCTTACTACTTACGTAAGATGACACTAGTAGAACAGAATTACGACATTTATAATAAAGAACTTCTCGCTATAGTCGTAGCCCTATAACATTAGAGAGTTTACGCCGAAGGAGCCCCCTTACTTACTATCCTTACGGACTATAAGAACCTCTTAACCTTTATAACTACTAAAGTTCTTAACCATAGGTAAGTGCGATAGTCGGAACTTCTTAGTTAATATAAATTTAAAATCCAGTATATACCAGGTAAGGATAACGGTAGAGCGGACGCGCTTAGTAGAAGAATTAACTATATAGAAGGTAAGGAGGCTATTATATATAGCATCCTCTAAACTAACAAAGATAGAACACTTAGCGTACGGACACATAAGTTTAATGCCGTATTACGTATTATAAAGGATGATAAAGAGGAGTTTCCTATCTCGTACGACAAATACTAAGTACCTAAACGACATTAGGAACAGTGCATTAAGGACTACTACGATGACCTAATATACGGTTACCCTAGTATTACTAAAATAATCGAGGTTATATAACGCAACTTTATCTTCCTATAGATGAAAGTAAAGGTTATAGCATACGTTTAGAAATGCCGTAGCTATTAGATGAACAAGTCGTCTAGATATACGAAATATAGAGAGATTCAATTTGTAGACCTACCGCTACAGCCTTAGGACGAAGTTATAATAGATTTTATTACTAGCTTACGTAGTTTAAATAGCGCTAGACGCTCTAAACTATATTAGCAGTTTAACTCGATACTAGTTATAGTCGATAGACTTACGAAGTATATACACTTCGTTCCCTATTTAAAATCGATAATAGCAGAGGAATTAGCATACTTAGTTCTAGATAGACTAATTAGGTATTACGGGATCCCTAAGTCCTTTATTACGGATCGTGATAAGCTGTTTACGTTAAACTACTAGAAGACACTCGTCTCTATAATAGGTATTAAACATAAGCTTTTAACTGCTTACTATCCGTAGACCGACGGTTAAACCGAAAGGGCGAACTAGACGCTCGAAGCTTACCTACGACATTACGTTAACTACGCTTAAGATAATTAGGTGATATACTTACTAATAGCATAACTGGCGCTAAATCAACAAATTTCTGCTATAATAGGAATCACGCCATTTTATGCTAATTTCGGAAAGCACCCTAATCTATTTATAGAGCCTAAGTTACAGCACCTAAATGCAGATAAAGCAATGATTACTAGCGACGCGCTAAAGGGATTATATAAACAATTACGATAGAAGATACTATTATCCTAGGACGGTTTACGTAATAGGAGATAAAAATCAAAACTGGATCCTTAGCTAAAGAAGGGAGATAAGGTATACTTACTTACGAAAAACTTACGATCTTAACGAACGATAAGGAAACTAGATTATGTTAAGGTTAGACCATTTTTGATTTCAGAAGTTAGAGGACTAGTTAACTACAAACTCTAACTCCCTAATAATGCGAAAATACACCCAGTGTTCCACATATCGTTATTAGAACCAGCCGATCTAGAAACCCCGTTACAAACGACATTTTACTTCTAGACTAAAGAAGAAAACGAATTCGAAGTCGAGAAAATACTAGAATAACGAGGTTAGCGATACCTTGTAAAATAGAAAGGTTACCCACATTTAGAGAACACTTAGGAACTAAGATAGAACCTTAGGAACTGCTCGTCGCTACTACGCTAGTTTTAGGGAAAGAAGAAGTAACTAGCGACTCGAGGTAATAGGGTACGGAGGTGCCATCCTATACTAGGTCGGGAAGACTATTAAGGGCACTCTACGTAAATGGCGACAGCGATAAGGAAGGATCTTTAATAGTTAGGCTAGCGACGCCATTAACCTATTCCTACCGCTCCTATAAAAGAATACTCCTCTCCTTAACCGCGATAGCCTCGGTAGCACGTTAATCGGTATTATATAACGCTCGCCGTAAGTCGCGCTCCTCCTAATCTAATAAAGACCGTTACTACTAAATAGCGGCAAGACGTTCTTATAGACAGACCTTTTCTTATTTCATTAAAGACTATTCTTCCTCAGAAATACGGATGTTATAATCCGAATTATTATAGCGATAACAGTAGTTGCATTTCCTAGAACGAATATAGACGCGACACATAAGGCTGGTTTGTCGGCAATATTAGTAGGTAAGAGGCATAACGTTACTAAACGAATTAATGAAATTAGTAAGAGCAAGACGACGATTAGTACTAGAGGAAGTTACAGGTTTAGAAACAGTAGAAGGCCGAGATTTGGGTCTTATAGCCTTTAGCATATTAAAAGAAGCTTTAAGGGTAAAGCTCTATAAGGGGAAGGGTAGTGTTACGAGCTAAGTTAAGCGTAACGGGATTTACGACGATCATTACCGGATACGGGATCCTGCTCTAAGGATTCCGCTAAGAACCTGGATCTCTATAGAGCACACTATATAAGGCTGCTGCCTCCTGCACCCTGCTCTATACGATCTCTCGTTCTCTCTACTCCCTCTAGATTACACAGAATAATAGAGCATACAGAGTAACGTGTATACACTCATTATCTATTAAGTATATAGGTAGGCAGGACGACCTTAGGTAGTCCTACGTTTAACTTAATTAGTTATTCTAACAGTCCCTTTAGTATACACTACTTTATATACTACCTGCTTTACTTCGCTTAACACTCCGCTTCACGAGTCTAACCCCGTAACCTGTTATCTTATCTAAGATAGTTAGCCATAACATAATTGTACACTAGTCTCGATACCTAACGTGGCCTTAAGATACCATTTTACAACTCGGAGACAGGGTCGGTCATCTAGCAACTTTAGATTATAAGGACAGGGTAATTATTAAGTAGACTGATAACATTACGATTACGATGCTTAGGCACATTATTTTAACTCTCTCTTCTTAATCTTTTACTCTTCGTGTTTTTATGCTACTAAGTGCCTCTTTCTTAAGATGTGTAAAGATTTGAGATGCTACATATAACGTTTATAAAAGCGTATATGCCTAACACCTGGTCTTCTAAGTCTAATGTAGAAGGTGAAATCCTTCGCCGAGGTAGCTCGATTTTGCGGCCGCAAGTCGAACTGTGCAGCTAGCGTCCTGTTGCTAATCACTCGGCCTCATTATTTCGGTTGCTTTAGCAAATTGTCGACACGTGCTTCAAGCGTCGTCGTATCGCTAGCCAGTAACATTTCGTCCACAATGTATCACTCCTGTCTAGCAGCGTAATCTCGACTTTGTTATTACTATACACCTTTGCCCTTTCGACAAAGACGACCAGCAGACAGACTTGCTCGAAGGGAAAAGCAACAGAAATTGAGACCATTAACATGCGTATCCCAACTTTCTTCCTCCGAACAACACCACGCCTTTTACTCTTCCAGACTTTGATCGCCTGGTTGTGTATCCGCTCTCACTTTCTACCTCTTCCCTCCACCCTCACCTTTGCCCTCACAACAACACTAGGCTCCTACATCAACACCACAAAAGACATTCTGGACAGCAGATTCAGCTTCCCCCTCCCCTGGGAAACCTCCTTCTTCCTGCCCGCAATCCTGGATGCTTGGATCATCGCCGAAATGCCCGACCTTGCCATCCTATTAGGCACGCATCCCTGCGACCAAAGATTCGAAACCCGGGATCCACAAACAGGCATCTGCACACGTGTTCTAGCTTCCCAATGCTTTTCCTTTGCCTCCATGTATTCCCCTCGTCTGAAGAACTCATCCATGGGCTTCCAAATCCTGGAAGCGTGTGAGCAACTCTACCATACCACTGCTGGGGAAGAAATTGCTCATGTGACCCAATGTCACAAAGGAGAAGGAGATGGCGAAGATGATTCGTTGATGAGGTTTGTGGGTTGTGTCAAGGTGATGGAGTACTGGGAGCGGAAGAAGGGGATTTGTGGAAAGCAGCAGCCGTTTCTTAGGTGTGTGGGTGAGTATGGTGCGTTTGAGGAGGTTGTACCTATTCTGGAGGCATTGAGGGAGAAGAGAGATAGAAGGGAGGGGAAAGTGGCTATCTGAGTGGGCGAGAAAGAGACGGGGAAGTTAGAGAATGGTGGAGTTGCAGTGGTATTGTCATGGAATCACAGCCTTTTGAAAGGTTGAAAAGTCGGAAAACGGCAAGACAACCAGCAGATGGACTCAAGGCCGGCCAAAGCATCATTCATCAGGCCCAGAGGTAACACATGGACCTCTACTTGGAAGCAGCAGAGCGTCATGATATACCTCAGCATGTTCTGCGGATACTCGTTACGAGTGGTACTTCATCTCAACAAAGCCTCGCTCACAACCCATCACACTTCGCCTTTACAAACCGACCTACACCTTCCACCCGCTACTTAATCCCTTCACCTTCCATCCCATCCAGCGAAACAAAACCACCTTTACCCCTGAGCCCTGCCCATACCTTCAAGAAAGGCTAAAGGAATAAGAAGGGAAAGAGCCAACCCGCAAAGCAAGGCTCTCGTCATCAAATGTTAGTCAGCCAGCTCATCACAGACGAAAACTCAGGGGAGCATCGCACACCTCAAGGCCGCTAGTCCTGCCCCCGTCATCTAACTCACCAATCCAATACGAAAAAACCTTCTCTCGTCACCAAACCACCTTGGAACACATGCATCGAGTACGGCTGAATTTTGGGTTGCAACATGATTGAGCCAAAACCAGGGAGCATTGCAATCCAAGCACATGTGGACAAGAAAGAAATGGCTCAGAGAAAGACCATCCAGACGCTCTTTTTTTTCTTTTCGCACCTACACACTATCAAGAGCTTTTTGAATCGAACATCAAAAAAGATCACGCCTTGCTCGTCGACTTTGTAGACGCCTTTCAAAGTCAGACCTAGTTCCACCCCCTCGCGTATCGTCCCAAGTATCCTCGACAACGATGACGAAAAATTCTGCTGTAGATCCGCAATTTTGTCGAAGGTTTTTTTTTTTTTGAACCTTTGCTTGGATAACTGTTGTTACGACTATCGGGAGAGAAAGAGACTACATGTCTGCGTTATCTTGACCTCTTCTTCTCTCTCGATGTAAAGCCATCTCGACATTTAAAGGGTACTGATAGTAGAGATAAAGAGAGAAAGGCGTTGCTTTGGATGTACATCATCTTCCATCGTCAATGTGTTTTTTTTTTTTTCTCTTCGTCTTTTCAGAGTTTTAATGTCTTGTGTGTGAGGGGGATTTGATTCGAGAGTGTTGTCAAAGAGCAAAGAAACGATTTCATACATCGTTGCCCGAGATGTAGCACACATTGCGGTCGTCATCAATCGCGATGGCGGCCCAACCGTACTCACCGTCGGGGCGGATGGATGTGACGATAGTGATCTTCTTCTCGGGGAGCAGGATCTCGAGGTCGGCTACTTATGGGTTATTTCATCTGACTGTGTCGTAAGAAACAACGTTCAGTCTACTTACCAGTGATCTGAGCGCGCAGACCGAGAATGTTGTTCTCAGAGGACATTGTGCGTGGTATATATCTGTAGCTTGTTTGTGTGCAGAGAATATAGCGTGTGCATTGCGCGATAGGTGAACAATAAGACTAAGATATTGTTGTTGTTGTTGTGATCGAGGATAGTGCAGAAAGTGCCGACAATGTAGTTTTAAGAGCTGAACTCGGTGAGAGAAGGGACCCAATGAGATATTATACCGAGTGAGAGACGCGGAAATCAAGTGAGAGTCGGTTCTTGGTATGCTAATGTGTAGAGGTTGTGGTATCATATACGAGCGTTTCGGATAAAACCAAGATAGATCAGGTTGTAAAGTGTTGCAACAGATTCGCCAGAAAGGACAAGTCTGGATCGATTCTCGAGGACATTGGCCATCACATAAAACCAGTCTCTGTTGGATGGCAGTCGCGAAAGCGACGTAGACCTAGGATGTTTGTCGTATTCAGAGGAACATGACGATGTGCGCACAGTAAATCTTCTTGTGTTGAGTTATAGAGAATCGCTTGAGTATGCATGTGCTGCCGGGCTTGCTGTTCTGTGCTTATTGTGGTTGGTGAGCGTTCCCCACCAGGTATTGATGCCTTTTTCATGTGTTATGCTGGAAAGTGGGTGGCAGTAGGTAGAAGCAGATATATTTCGGTGTCAAGCAGCTGAACGTGAGACAGGCAAGGAAGATATAGTTGTGACAGACAAGTAAACAGTAAAACAGGAGAATTGTGTATGCATCTATTTCAAGCGAGAAGTCTTGCCGTAGCCCCAAGTCTTTTTGGTACAAGTATAGAAAAACAAACGCCATCGCTCTATTTGACACTTTTTCCAGATTTTGTTTTGTTTGGAGGTTGGTTACCGTGTCTTGTTTCTTTGTCGCACTGGGTTTATTCCTCGAAAAGGGGGAAGTGGCGACGTTTGAGATGGGAAGGGTACCGAGGTAGGGATTTGGTGATTTATTGGTTGCCGAACATGGACTCGACCATTTCACCGCCGCGGATGGCGAGCACGGAGAGGAGGGAGTCACTCAGCTAGAACGGTCAAGGTCAGTAAAGGCAGAAGAGGGAGAGAAGGAAGTGAAACTTACACCATGGGTACCCTCGTTGCAACCCTGCAGCCAGACGCCGGAGTCCTTGGCCACAGCGCCTTGCTCAAATTGCACCTTGTACTCGCGATTGACAGTCCACTTCTGCCCAGGCTTATCACCACCAGGCATCATAGGTCTGACCTTGGACAGCAACTGCTCGTGGTGATCTCTTCTGTAACCACTGGCGATCATGACCAAGTCGACATCCAGAGACTCGTTGGTAGAGCCCTTGGCACGTCTGAACTTTGCAGTGTCGTTTCTGATGTGTAGACGCACACGGTCGTTGGGTAGCTCGGTCACATTCTCGACTTCGCGGTGGTTGAGCAGGCGTTGGGGCCACTTGGACTCGTCGTCGCCGTGAACCAGACGCTGAGTATACAGGCAGTCGTACATGTGTTCCAGCAGCTCAAGACGAACGACACCATAGTTGGTGGCCTTGTCCATCTTGATGGCCTGAGCACGAACGGCGGGATCTTGGTTGAAGGTGTCATCGGTACGCTCCGGATCGAAGACCTCGTTGACAAAGGGCGAGTCGTCCGAGGGTCTGAGAGCGGCGCCTCTGATCAAGAGGTAGGCCTTTGAGTTGGGGAACTGAGTAGGGATGTTCTGGAAGATCTCGGCAGCCGATTGACCAGAGCCAATGACGGCGATGTTAAGAGGAGCGTTGCGGTCGAGGAAGATGCGCGAGGAAAGAGTCCAGTATTGGGATGAGTGGACGATGCGAGGGTGGTGCTGGGGGAAGGCCTCGGGGATTCTAGGGTGGCCGCCGACAGCAACAACGACACGTTTCGTACGGCGGAAGCCGAGTTCGCGCGTGTGAATGTTGCGAGATGTGATTGTCCATGTTGTCACGCCCTCGGCGCTGTTGGCCTGGCTATCAGGCGAGATGTCGACCACCTCTTCTCCGTACGAAACCAAGCTCTGGAACCAGCCAGCACACCAGCGAAGGTAGTCCTCGTACTCGATGCGACGGGGCAGGAAAGTGCCGAGGTTGGTGAACTGCACCAGACGCTTGTTCTCGTGCAGGTAGTTGAGGAAGGTGAATTCGCTGCGAGGGTTGCGCATCGTCGCCATGTCCTTGATGAAGGAGATTTGCATCTTTGCACCAGGAATCTGCATGCCGGCGTGCCATGCAAAGTGTTCTTGTCTCTCGAGGAAGGCGACCTTGGGCTGTGTCTTGAGCTGCGCTTGCTGCTTTCCCGTCTGCTTGGTGGAATCGTGCAGAGCAACTGCGATTGCCAGTGCGGCAGGACCGAAGCCTACGCAGACTACATCGTGTACATCGTCTTGTGGTGTTGGGTGGAGGTGTGTCCTGAACTTGGAGCCAATGCGCTCAGGAACACTCTCGAGAGCCATTTCGGGGACGTCGGCGTGTGGTGCCATTGGAGTGTCTATGTCGTCTTCTTTGGTGCGTGTCAGTCGGGACATAGGTGCCATATAACTTTGCGTGTCTCGTTGACGACAAGATACATAAAATTCAGGTCCAACAGAGACAAGAACTCGTCGCAATCTTTCAAACGTTGACGGTGAATTGATCGCTGTTGCTGCTGCCACTGGAATTGTGCAGGAGGACTTACCAGGCTTATGTCCGTTCGTGTGCAAAAAGTATATTTTCTCAAATCGACAATCTTCAAGCTGATGTATGACGACAAGATCGCTGGCGGACACAAGGAAGAAGAAACCGTCAAGTGGAAAGAGGAAGGTATGTCACTCTGGACGGCAATAAATTGTTGGTATCGTCTGACTTTCTGTCTCTCGTCGCAAAGCTCGGTCGAGCAGGGCGAGCAGGCCACTTTATTCCCTTTCATCGTTGACTTTGACACCGTCAGTGCTTCTCCCACAAAAGACAGACCATCATGGTCGCTGCGTGCTGTTGTCTTGGCCCTCGCGTGTTTGTGGAACGGCTAGAGATGAAAATTCTGCATCTAATCAGTCTAATCAGATCAGATCAGGGATCGATTCGCGACACGGCGGGGACAGCAAACGAGCGCCAAATCACGGACCTCCTTCTCTAGCTGCAGGGCAAGCAAGGGTTTCCATAGCCGCTTCCTTTGTCACGAGCAAAGAAAAGTTTGGTCCTGTCATGGCTTGCAGTGACTTTTCGTAGTCTTCAAGAAGTGCATGTTCAGCTGACCTCTGTTCTGCCAATCGCTACGGCGGAACGAGGCATCTTGATGGTATAGCTCTCTCAAAGCAAAGGACATGCTTGTCGTTTGGTCGCAGTCGTTCCGTGCCACGATGCACATGTCCCGCCGTCATCGGAGGGCTCGTACCGCTGTCCTCCTCCCTACCATCGCACATACCGGTGGCGCCCGATTTTAAGTTATCTGATCCGCTCTGCAGCGCACAGATCCTGATCCCATGAGCCATCGCATACTTTCACTCTACTTGTTCTACGCGCCATGCGGTCAAAACGTAGCGGTGATTGTTTCTGTTGGGCCGAGCAAACGCCCTAGCTTGTCAGGCTGTTCATGAGGTCGATCATGGCTTCATTTTTGTAGGTAAGGAAAAGCAGGGATGACTCTCACAATGTGTGAGTTAGGAACAATTGTCCCACCAGCTTTTGAGAATTCAAACCAGGTTCTTGCGAGGAAACGGTAGAGAAAGCATGTTGTTTCGAGCCCTCTCGGTGGGCACTCTATCACGTCTGGTGATGCCTTGAACGTGTCAATCTCAGCTACTGGAGAAAAGCACGCCATGTTTTGCTCCGAAAGGCACCTGCCTTTTCCGGAACCACTTTTGATCCGCCAAAAACGCCTCGCTGGTGCTACATACAGAGTCGAAGAACTAAGAATGCAAAAACACAGATCGTGACCCATAATAAGAACAAAGGAAAGAATCATGCAACCCTCATGCTAGCGTTTGTGCCTTCACCATGCCTGCGTATAGACCTCCTTGAGCGACGAGCTCGGCATGACTACCGACTTCCTGGATACGTCCGTCGTCGAAAACGAATATCCTGTCAGCATTCTGTACGGTGGAGAGTCGATGTGCTACAACAATAGTCGTTCTACCCACACTTGCACCGTCAACAGCTTCTTTGATTTGTTGCTCAGAGTGAGCATCAAGAGCAGAGGTATACTCGTCGAGAAGCAGTACCTCGGGTGACCGGATCAATGCTCTAGCCACGGCAATACGTTGCTTCTGTCCTCCTGATAGCTTGGAGCCATTGGTACCACACTCCGTGTTATAGCCCTCGGGTAGACTCATAATGAACTCATGAATACCACACTTTTCGCAGATTTCCTCAATGTCCGCTCGAGTTGCCGTTTGATCTGGTGCAGCGCCCAAGCCGATGTTGTACGAAATAGACCCAGGAAAGAGGTCTGGCTCTTGAGGCACAAGGCCTAGACGACCTCGGTGTTTTGACACGGCTACCTCACGTATGTCTTGGCCGTCTAAGAGGACACTCCCGGTCGTCGGATCGTAGAAACGCTGCAAAAGTGTGAGAACGGTCGACTTGCCTGCTCCGCTAGGACCGACAAGTGCAATAAACTCTCCTGGTTTGATGGAAATGTTCACATTCTGCAGCGCTGGATGTTGAGGCTTAGAAGGGTAACACAGACTGACATCCTTGAACTCTATCCAGCCCCCAGAAAAAGAGTCAGGCTTGTCATCGAGGGTCGGGATGGTCTCATCAGGGATTGGCTTTCGTGCAGATTCCTTGCTGTCATCAGTCACGATAGATGGTTTCTGATCGTGCAAACCGAAAACATTGCGAGCAGCCACCCCAGCCCGTGACATCTCTGGCGACAAGCTGAAAATTTGTCCAGCGCTCTGGGCAGAAAAAAGCAGAGCGGGGAGAACGATGAAGAACTCCAACTGACCGTACGTGCCATTTCTCACTTGTCGAGCACCCCACCAGTAAGCAAGGGCATACACAAAGTAAGTGATGGAGAAGCTCAGCGCAAGCAGAGTGTTCGAGATTAGCGTGAATCGGATACCTTTCTCATAAGGCTTGCGGACTGCCTCGTTGAACGACTTTGAGACACCACGCTCTCTGCCAAGAGATGCAATGGTTCTGATGCCTCTGCAAGCCTCTGCCGCGATAGAAGCGGCGTCGTTATATGCAGACCTGTGTCTGTTCTCTGCAAGAGCGAGCACTCGTAGTCTTACATATCCAGCCATGATCATGACAGGGACGGCGGCTAGCAAGACGACAGCAATCTTCCATGCAACGACATGAGCCAAGATGATGCCACCGGTGATTGATACGCACACCGTAAAGATAGTACCAATGGCAACACCAGACAGACAAGCGAGTTGACCAGCATCAGAATTGAGACTGCTCATGACCGAAGAGACTGAGCGACCCGAGAACCACTGCATATCTTGACGTAAAATGCTGACGAGGGAGATATGTTGAACCTTGGCGATAAAGTGCGAAGAGACCACACCAAAACAGCAGCCGTTGAGAGCATACGAGAAAAACGCAATCAACGCTATAATGAAGAACATGAGCGAGAAGAAGTCTGCCCTGTCCCTGAAGTTCGGACTTTCCAGATCGTTCAAGACTGAAATGAGATTACCAAAGACGATGGCTTCACCAAGGATGATGCCGCCAGAGATGATGGAAGCAGTAAGACCGAGGGCGATGATCGGGGAGTCCGAATTGGCCAGACGAAGACATCTTAGCAAAAGCTGCCAAAATCCCGCCTTCTTGACTGGTTTCTCTTTGGATTTCGTCTCTGTCAGGGGTATCTCAGGGTCGCTAGAGGCCGAATCATCCTTTGGTTTGAGTACACTTTCCAGACTAGTACTCGCTGGAGAGACCTCCGCTGATGAGTCATCCGTACCGTTTAGCTGTTGTGCCTGAATGAGATTGCTGTATGCCCCGTCCAGCTGCATGAGCTCGTCGTGGTTGCCTTGTTCAATGACTTTTCCTGCACCCATGAGCACAATATTGGGAGAGTCTGACACGGTGGACAGCCGATGTGCTACCATGACTACCGTTGTACCCGCTGCAGCAACTTTCTTGACCGCATCCATGATCAGCATCTCACTGTTTGCATCCAGAGCCGCAGTAGGCTCGTCAAGTAGGAGTAGTGACGGTCTCTTGACCAGCGCGCGTGCCAAGCATATGCGTTGTGTTTGACCGCCACTGAGCTGCGTGTAACCTCCGTTGCCGACGCGAGTGTGAATGCCTTGGGGTAAGAAATCGATAAAGTCAAGATTCGCTGACTTGGCGGCTTCAGTGCACCTTTCCATGACAGTGTCTTGTTCTAGAGAGTGTTCACCGAGTCCGTAACCGATATTTTCCAAAACCGAACCAGAGAATAAGACTGAGTCTTGATCGACCAAGGCGGTATATTTTCTCAAGCTGTTGATGTTGAAGACTTTGATATCTTGTCCTCCGATGAGTAGCTCTCCAGATGATATGTCGTATAATCGTAGAAGTAATGAAACAAGAGTACTTTTACCACAGCCGCTGGTACCAACAATGGCATTCATCTGCCCGGCCTTGAGTGTTAGATTCAGGCCATCTAGCGCACGAGCTGTCGTCCTTGCAGGATAGACAAAGTTGACATCACGGAAAGCTATGTCGGCCTTCATGTCGTCTTCTGTTGCTTGTTGACCGTTCTTGGAGTAGACGTCAATGTCCGTATGCGGCTGATTGAGAATCTCATATACACTCTCTCCGGCAGCTGCAGCACTCGCAAAACATCCAAGGAATGGTCCAAACTGACCAACAACGAATGAAGCATCTATGATTAGAAAGACCACAGCATAGACAGTTCCTGCATTGTTTGTGCCTGACTCTGCTGCCAACCGTGATCCCTCCCAAAACGCCAATGCGTTGGCACTGTACGCAGTAAAGTAGACCAGGCCAAGCATAAGAGCAGCAGAAATGGATTTTCGAATTGCGCATCCGGATGACAGCTTGAGAAGGCGATAGTGTTCCTCGCTGAGCTTGTCGGCCATCCCGAAAGCTTGGACAACCTTGACGGCATGGATAGCGCTTTCAGCAACCCTACCTGCCGCTTCGGTGTGCTGTGTAGCCGCTTTTGTGTACTTCGCGATCCTGGAAGAGCCGCTGACAACGATGATAGTCATGAGAGGAATAACGGCAGCGAACAAAATTCCGGTAAGTTTTGCATTCAGGATGAATCCTACAATAAATGCCGCAACGAAATAGCTGATTGACTGAATGAAGATGCCAACTTTCTCGGAAGTCCCTATCTGGATAGCTTCAATCTTTTCGGTCAATAGATTGGTGATGTCCGGGTCATTGATATCGAAGTACGCCTGCTCAAGACCAAGCAGACGCTCTACAAGAGTCACACGGAAGCAACGCGAAATTCTTTCTCCGGTCAAGCCCCAGGCGATTGCGTAACCAGTCGTGACAATGAAGTACCCACACGCGACTCCGATGAGTTGGTACAGCCTGTCGCGCAACACATCCTCTGGCGGTGGAAACGACGTAATGATTTGTCCGAAGATGTAGCCAATGATGGGAAGCGGAGTACCTGCAGCGATGGCCAGAATTATGCCAGCACCCAGAATTGCCCGCGACTCTGCATCCTTGACCAGTCTGAATAGATCCAGGTAAGAGCTCTTGAACGGATTGCTACCAATGAGTTGTTTTATCCATTTCCGAGAAACAAAGACAAATTCAGCGTGCCATGATCGTGGATGAGCTGAATTCAATGTTGCAGTCTCAAAGTTGCGTTCTGCTTCGATGGTGGCCATCGAGGGTCGCGAGAGTCCGTAATCAGATGAGGCTGTTTGTCTGCCATCAACAGTAGACATAGTATCTTGGAGCGCCCTTCTCCTATATGACGCAGGTCGGAACTCGAAATACCCTCGGATGAGATTTGCATACACTTTTTCGGCACTAAAGTTCTTTTTTCGTAAAGGAGGCTACCTTAAGCTTCAAGCCTCAAACGCACCGTATTCTCTAGAGTGCCAACACTTCGGAGAATAGAGCAAACACGTGGTCCTGTCAATATAGCATTGCGCACATCGAGGTGAGGGAGAGGTATTTGCAACAGATACATGCGATGCTGAAAGAATTGACACCCGAGGTTGCATGGCCATGCTCCATCCATGACATTTTTTTTTGCTGATCACCTACTGCTTCGGCAGGTCGGAAGAGAATTGTTTTACGATGCGTACGAAAGCCGGACGGCAGCTGTGACCGTGTTAAGCTTACGATTGACAGTGACATGCTCACCAGCTGTCGATCATTGGACGAGAAGAATGGTTAGAGCGAGTCTTGTGCATTTGGAAGCGTGGTCCTCCTGCACGGCGCGGTTTATCAGATCCGTACCGGCTGATTGTGATGTCAGTGGCTAGTAATGATCGTCATGACCTTAGATTATTTTATCAGATGGATGAGCAAATGATCTGATAAAATTTTGTCCAAGCAATTGGCAAGTAAAATGTTCAACCGACGAGAACAGTGCTCGTCCGTCTTGGATGTTCAAGGAAACGCGATGCGAGACTGGTGCGTGGATTGTGCGGACCAATAAAGATGGCTGTTGCTCACCCAGTCGTTATGGTGTGAGGATCTTCACCTGTTGATGGATTTGAGAACTTTGCTCCCCGTAGCCTTGTTTTCCGCAACTGCCAATAGCCGGCGAGAAGTCGAATTCAGCAGATTTGGAACTGACAACCATTTTGCTGTACAACTGAGTTCTGTACCCCTCGCGAGCTTGTAAAGCGTTGTCATCGGTGTTCCGTACGTGCGAGAGTCAGCTCGAGATGTAAAGCGCCAGGTGACTGCCCGCCGACCTCGGCTTGCCCGTCCACCTGCAACAACGCACGAGCGGCGCCCTAAAGTCGCTAGTGCCGGGCTTAATCTGGTCGTGATTGAAGTCGTCAGTTTCTCGATCGCCGGCTGATTTTTCTTCGTGTAGATTTCGTGTGCCCGCACGACTCGATATGGTCTAACTTATGGGTGGCATGCTGTCGTTGAATCACGAATTATATCATAGTTGACTCGCGACAAATCGATTGCTTTGCCCGCACTGCATAGCTCCTGCTGGATTGGTTGTTTGCTCTTTCATCTTGCATTTGCATGACAGGCGCGCTCGGTTTCTGGCTACTTGCCTCCATGTTAGGCTTACGGTTTACGACTTATACACTTAATCAATAATATGCCAGCGCGAACACTCTCCGCGAGGGAGGCGAACTTGAAAATGGACGAAACTCTTTCAATACTCAATCCTAACCCTGCCCGGCTGGAAGGTCCGGGACTACTTCATGAGCTTATATCTGGCCCCGAGACGTCTGGAATTGCTTTGGAATACTTGGGTGCCGATGGAAAGACGACGAAGCTGTCATACTCCGATCTGCATAGAGAAGCAGACTGGTTAGCCTTGCGATTATGCCAGGTAAGACAGCAAACCTCCGAGAAGGCCCCCAAGATCGTACCTGTGTTTATCCCGCAATGTACGTTCCTGTACATTTCGCAACTTGCCATCTTGAAGTCAGGAGCAGCATTCTGTCCCCTGAATATGGATATGCCAGAGGAGAGACTGAAGTTCATATTGAAAGACACCTCGGCCAAGATCCTTCTCACAACAACATCGATGCGATCCAAATTACCAGTGCTTGAGGACATACTGGTCATCGAAGTAGACGATGGTCAATCAGAGCTGAAAAATGACATAAGACCACTCGAGAGTGCTCGAGACTCTGGACTGTATCTCAGCACTTCCTCTCTCGCTTACATCATGTACACCTCAGGCAGCACTGGGCTTCCCAAGGCAGTCTGTCTCTCGCATCAAGCAGTCACACAATCTCTCTTGGCTCATGACGAGTTCATACCAGGTTTCTCGCGTTTCTTGCAATTTGCAAGCCCGACTTTCGATGTAAGCGTATTCGAAATTTTCTTCCCGTGGTATCGCGGATCAACTCTCGTTTCTGTCGAACGCGGTCGCCTACTCAGTGATCTTCCAGGAACCATCACTTCTTTGGATATAGACGCTGCCGAACTTACGCCGTCGGTGGCCGCCAGTCTGGTCCGTACAAGGGACAATGTTCCCAATCTACGGCTACTCCTAACGATCGGCGAGATGCTCAACCCGCAAGTCATCCAGCAGTTTGGCGGCACTCTCGACGATCCCGGGATTCTTTATGGCATGTATGGTCCGACGGAAGCTGCCATTCATTGCACTCTGCAGCCTGACTTCGCTGCCGATCTGCCTGCTGGTATCATCGGTGTACCGCTGAGAACAGTCTCTTGTTTTATTGTCAAGCCAGCAGAATCAGACGAGCGCTCGAACGAGATTGCGATCCTACCTATTGGCGAGATAGGCGAACTCGCTGTCGGCGGCCATCAGCTAGCAGATGGCTACCTCAATCGGGACAAACAGACTAAAGCGGCCTTTGTTAGTCATCCAAAATATGGCAATATATACCGCACAGGCGACAAAGCACGCCTTATGCATAACGGAACACTCGAATGTCACGGACGTATCTCCAGTGGTCAGGTCAAGCTTAGGGGTCAGCGCGTTGAATTGGGAGAAATCGAACATGCCGCGTCAAAGGCTGCTGGGTGTCATGCAGCAATTGCAAGTGTTATCTCCGGTCTTCTGATTCTCTTCTGCATTGGTGATTCTGGTCATGTCTCAGCTGGAAGCATCAAGTCCGCTTGTCAAAAGTGGCTCCCAGCTTATATGCTACCGAGCGAGATCATTCTACTTGACGACTTCCCCTATCTTCCATCAGGCAAGGTTGACAAGAAGAAGCTGGAGCAGGACTACAGCTCAAGAACTGCAGGGCCTGAAGTGGAGTCTACCGAGATCTCCGCGAGTGCCAGATCCATAGCCCGGATCATACAAGACATACTAGGCGTTCCAATCGAGTGGTCCACTGATCTTGGTGCTGCGGGGCTGGACTCGCTGAAAGCGATTCAGGTAGCTTCGGAGCTGCGTAAGCAGGGTCACGGTAATGTAGGAGCCCTCGAATTGCTCTCCGCCACAAATGTGCTTGCTCTAGACCAGCTTGTGCTTGCCAGAAGCAGTGCTGACGGTACTGATGATAATGATGATGGAGAATGGCAAAGCATTGTTGACGACCTAAGTTCAATTGTTGAGAAAGATCTTGCATCGAAGAACGTCGTGAGCGACATACAATCCATCGTGCCTTGCACACCGCTACAGGACGCTATGCTGGTGGAGACAGCGAGACAGCCTCAAGCGTACTACAACGAGCTTCGACTCTCAATCGCGTCTGACTTTAGGGTCGAACAAGTGCGAGATGCTGTCTTCATGTTGGCCGAGAAGCACGAATCTCTCCGGTCCGGTTTCTGGGAATCCGGTGTCTCTCACTGTTCTTACGCTCAGATTACTTGGAAGCATCTAGATGACTCCCAATTTGCGTCAGTCGACTCGTGGACGACCGAAAGTTCAACATCAGGTCAAACTATGCTTCTACGACCTCTCCACTTCCAATGCAGGAAGTCCGACACTGGATGTGAGATTTTGATCAACATACATCACGCTTTGTATGACCACTGGTCAGTAGAGATCATCCTAGAAGATCTGGCGAATCTCCTGCGGCACGAAGAATCGCCAGATAGGCCCTCATTCGGAGCCGTCAACAGGTTCTTCTGCCTTCACAAGAGAGGAGACCAAACAGCGCATCAAGAGTTCTGGCACAAATACCTGGTCGATGCTACTACTGGACGTTTACCAAATTTATCACCTACGTCAGCGCCATTTCAGCCTCTCCAATACACCAAACATATCATCGATGTGAACGTGAACAAGCTACGGCAAGTCGCGCACTTATACTCCTGCAGTCCTCATGTCTTCTTCCAAGCCGCGTATGCCATACTCCTTGGAACCTACATGGGTACAGATGATGTGCTTTTCGGCACTGTGTTCTCTGGAAGGACACTGCCTATCAGCGACGTCGAGAGTGTAGTAGGACCTCTCTTGTCTACTCTTCCCTCTCGTGTTAACATAGCAGAAAGTAGAAGATTCAGTGACATTCTGCGTCGCTTGCAAGGAGACAATCGTGCAATCATGCAGCATAGCACAATGCCGCTCGCAGACATCAACAAGGCTTGTGGTGCCGTTCCCGGAGAAGCCCTTTTTGACAGTATCTTTGTCTGGCAAGAGACGGCTCGGTCCAGCCCCCAGGCTCACAAATTGGTGAGCTTGGAGAGCGCTCGTGACTATCTGGAATTTAACCTGACCTTAGAACTCGAGCCCTCTCAGCAGGGCGTCGAAGTCAAGGTGACATACCAATCAAGCATCTTACCGCCACGTCACGTGGAAGTATTGTTGCAGCAGCTTGATGCGCTGGTAAAGACCGCAGTAGCCCAACCTGACATGTTACTTGATGAGGTTATAAGTCATCTTCCGTTCTCGGTGCTGTCAGTCGCGAATCCAAATCCACAATCCTATTCATACACTACTGGACTCGGATCCGTTGTAGAAAGCCAAGCTTCAAACCAAGCCGACAGTCTGGCACTGGTCTTCGCTCACGACATTCAAGAAGGAGACTCGAAACTCGAGAGTCTGACGTATAGCGAGTTGAACGCTCGAGCGAATCAGCTTGCGCATTATCTCATCTCACAAGGCGCCAACCCCAACGAACTTATATGTGTCTGCATGGAGAAGTCCGTAAATTTGTATGTGGCTATTCTGGCTGCTGTGAAAGCAGGTTGTGGCTACTTGCCCTTGGTCCCCGACACACCTTCCGCTCGAATTCGCCAAATTCTTTTGGACGCAAATGTTCAGATCTGCTTGACCGACTCGTCAACGGCATCTAATATTCCCGAGAGTGACGGCTGCGTTGTGGTTGATGCTGAAGCCAAAGATTTCTCAGACCAGGCACGCACAAACCCTGCCACATCTTTCGAGCCCACAGACATCGCGTACGCAGTCTTCACCAGTGGCACTACAGGAAAGCCCAAGGGAGTTCTGGTGACTCAAGAGAATATTCTTAGCAATCTTGAGGTTCTAAGTCGTATCTATCCTGTTCCAGACGGGTCCAGGCTTCTCCAAGCATGCAATCAGGCATTTGATGTCAGTGTTTTTGAGATCTTCTTTACTTGGTACACTGGCATGTGCTTGTGCTCGGCTTCCAAGGATGTTTTGTTCCGCGACATTGAAGCCGCGATCAACGAGCTTAGTGTAACCCATCTCTCTTTGACCCCGACTGTGGCCGCCTTGACTACTCCTGCTCATATCCCGAAAGTACAGTTCATTGTCACCGCTGGTGAAGCTGTCACGCCCTATGTCCACAACGCATGGGCCGACAACGGACTTTACCAAGGCTACGGTCCCTCAGAAACCACCAACATTTGCACCGTCAATCCGACCGTGAATTCGAACCACGTCATCAACAATATTGGGCCTCCTTTCGAAAACACCTCAGCCTTTGTGTTGAAACAGGACGCTAAATTTGAGATTGTCCCTCTTGGCGGCTTAGGTGAACTCTGTTTTGGTGGACAGCAGGTCTTCCGGGGCTATCAAAACATGCCTGAGCTTACTGAGAGTAAGATCGTCGATCATCCGAAGTATGGTCGCATCTATCGCAGTGGAGATCTCGGTCGATTATTGCCTGATGGCACCATATTGATCCAAGGCCGTACTGACGACCAGAGAAAGATTCGTGGTCAAAGAATTGAGCTCGGTGAAATCGCTGGTCGTCTACTGGAAGTCTCAGAAGTCCAAGATTGTGCAGTCGAGGTCGTGAAACACGCAAACAATGAACGGTTGATGGCCTTCTGGATTCCGAGAGCCTACTCTAAAGACGCATACACAATACTGCAGTCAGACGATGCACTCACGAAAACTGTCTCGTCGATTTTCGCGCATCTCGCCGATCATTTACCTGTCTATATGATTCCGGATGCATTAGTGCCGGTGTCATCTATACCACAGACCACGCAGGGCAAGATCGACAGAAGACGACTGACTAGTGATGGGTCACGTCTTAGTGTCGAAGAGTTGAATTGGTGTTCTCGGAGTTTCCAGGATGACGATGATGCCGTTGAGTTCTCTGCGACCGAGCAGCAACTGGTGGCCGCTCTTGTAGAGACTTTGCAGATACCATCGACGTCGGTTGGCCGTTCAACCTCTTTTTTTGCGCTGGGACTGGACTCGGTGTCCGCGATTCGCTTTGCAACAAGACTGAGAACAGATTATGGTCATATGTTCGATGTGTCTCAAATTCTCAAGACCCCTACTATTGCGAGGCTGGCCTCGCAGCTTCAAAAAGCGCAACTGAGTCAGCCAGACCACGTCAAGGGAAGTGCTTTGGTCGACTGCGAAGATGCCATTGCGTCGGATATTCGTGATGGTGTGATAGCCCAGCTTCGCGAGCTTGGCCGCAGCGTGAAACACGTCTTTCCTTGTACGCCACTACAGGAGGCTATGCTCTCTTCCGATGGCGCGTCGGATCAGTCCTCAGCATACAGGAACAAGACATTGTTCGCCTTGCACGGTGAAGTCGACAAAATCAGATCTTGCTGGGAAAGCATGATCGAGAGACATGATATTCTGAGAACAGTCTTCATTGCTACTGAAAGCTCAAGATTCCCTTTTGTTCAGGTCGTAATGTCAAAATGGAGCTTGCCGTGGGAAGAACATGAAGCTACACATCAAGATCCGAAAGCATTGCTTGACGACTTAGAACCCGACTCTCTGTCACCAGGGTCCGCGCCTCCATGGAAGATCCGAGTCTACAGATCAAGGTCTATCACCCACATTATTCTCGACATGCATCATGCTCTCTACGATGCAAATGCGATGTTCAACCTTCTGCTTGAAGTAGAGCAAACATACAGAGATCAAAAGCTTGCCGATCCGATCTCTTTCAAACCGTTTCTCGATCGCATGGTTTCTGGAAGTGTTGAAAAAGCGGATCAATATTTCAATGATCAACTACAAGACTTTATACCAAAACCGTTCAACAAGACAGATTCCAGCCATCATAAGCAAAGCTTTGGCATGATCACTGGAGTTCTTGACTGCTCGCCAAAGTGGGTAGAGAGCTTCTTGGCAAGACACTCTACAACTATGCTTAGTCTTGTTCAGGCTATGTGGGCAAAGACATTGGTAACATCTCAAAACCACTCAGACGTTTGCTTTGGTAATGTGGTCAGTGGACGTAGCGTGTCTGTCGACGGTATAGAGTCTCTCGTGGCACCATGCTTCAACACGGTTCCCACTCGTATTGACTTGTCCAGATACAAGAGCAATCTTAGCCTTGTCAAAGCTCTCCAGGAGAGTAACATCGAAGTTCTTCCGTACCAGCTCACGCCTCTGCGTCGTATCCAGGCACAAGCGACAAATGGACTACGATTGTTCGATTCACTCGTGCTCCTGCAGCAAGATTCAGGAAGCCTTGACCCGACAATCTGGAGCTTAGAAGGTGAAACAGGAGTCATGGATGTGAGTATAATGTACAAAACATCAGCATTAAGCTCCAGCTGATAACAAATAGTTTCCTTGCATCGTTGAGTTCGTGCCTGCGTGCGACTCATACAGCCTTTCACTACATTTCGACCGGTTGGTTTTGCGTCCTCTTCCCCTCACTCTAATAGGTTACTAACGGTGCTTAGGAGTTATCTTGATGATGAAGTCGCTTCCAGACTTCATCAAGCGTGTTTGTCTGCATTTTCCTCTTGCACAAGATACCCTTCCAGCGATGTTTCTGATTTTATCGATTTCGACAAAGCTTTAGTGGCTGGTAGTTTGAAGCCAGACGAAAAGCAAATGCGTTCTATTGAGAGAGCCCAGCAAGAACGGCTGCAACAATCGTGGCCCTCTGATGATGAAACCTGGTCGTCTGTTGAGTTGCAAATCCGCGCTGCGTACTCTGCAATTTCATCCGCTTCTGAGGATCGTATTGGAAGAGACACGACTATCTACAGGCTTGGATTGGATAGCATCAGCGCGATCCAGGTTGCAAGCAGGCTTCGCAAACAAGGTCTTTCGCTGCAAGCCAGCGACGTGATTGAGTCTCCATCATGCTCAGCACTGGCATCAGTGGTCCAGACACGATCAGCAACTCCCGTGTTGAGCACGCCCGCATTCGACCTTGACAACTTCGACCAAAACTATCGCATTTCTGGCTTGAATAATCACCAGATTGCGACCGAAACAGTGTCTGCAGTACGGCCTTGCACTCCGGTGCAAAGTGGCATGTTGAGTGAATATACACACTCTGATGGCCACCGGTACTTTAATCATACATTCTATGCGGTAGAGGCAGAGATCGATCTGGACAGACTTCGACACGCATGGTCAATGGTCATCGAGCGACATGAAATCTTGCGGACAGGGTTTACCAGCACAGAGGATCACGAGCATCCTTTTGTGATGTTGACTTACAAGAAGGTCAGGGCCGAGAGTCTCGAAATTCAGACTTCATCTAAGGGGAGCATGGCCTTGATCGAAGACTGTGAGCAGAAGGCGCTTGGATCTGTCAAGGATAATCTTCATCTGCCTCCATGGAGATGGTGCTTACTTGAGGTTGATGGTACTCAATGCATGCAATTCTCTGCGCACCATGCTATCTTCGATGCAGAGAGTCTTCGTTTGATGACGAGAGATCTCCAAAAGGCTCTTTCTGACGAGGATGTGGTCGCAAGACAGTCGATAGACAGCGCAATAAGTCACATCATCTCTAGTAGTCGGGCTGATCCGGAAGGACAACGAGACTTCTGGTCGCAAAAGCTGAGCGGTGCCCCCGCCACTCGTTTCCCCAACATGACTCCCGTCAGAGTTTCGGACACAGAAGCGGTCATCGTCAAGCGCGTTTTGGAGCTCCAGAGCAGCCACATAGAGGCACGATGCCGGGACCTCGGTGTCTCGGTGCAGTCCATCGGTCAAGCAGCTTGGGCTAAGGTCTTGAGTGCATACACTGGAGAGTCACAAGTGACTTTCGGAGTGGTACTTTCCGGCCGTACTGCTCCCGAGACGGCAGACGCCGCTTTCCCTTGTATCACTACGCTTCCTGTTTCCATCAACACTGACGTAGATGACGGTCAACTTCTCGCAGAGTTAACCTCATACAACGCCAGCGTTCAGAAGTATCAGTTCACGCCTTTGACAAGCATTCAAAAGTATGCAGAGTTGCCGAGCGAAGCGCTATTCGACTCACTCTTCGTATACCAAAGACCTCTGAAAGACAATGGTAATGGCTCATCTTGGAAGATCGTTCGCGAGAAGGCTTCAGTCGAGCTTGCTGTCTCCATCGAGATGGAAGCACTCGGCCAAGACCAGATAGGCTTCCGACTGACAGTCGATCCTGCTCAGATACCTCAAGAGCAATGCAAGATTATGCTGCAGCAGATGGAAAGTATTATCGCTTGCCTTTTGGGTACGCAAAGTTCACTTGACACCTCGACTCTATCAATCATTCCTCCGAAAGATCCTGTCATCCCAACCGACTTTAAGTATCTACACGAGATGACTGAAGCGTCTGTTAGAGACCACCCGGATCGCATCGCAATGGAGTTTGTGGATAATCTAGGTGAAGGGCAAGTCACTAGTCGACAGTGGACTTACCTCCAGCTGGACAACGAGGCCAACCAAATTGCTCGTCTTTTGGTGGACTGTGGTACAAAGCCGGGGGACATCGTCGCGACTTCGTTTGACAAGTGCCCAGAAGCATCATTCGCATTCTACGGCATCCTCAAAGCTGGGTGTGCTTTCTGCGCCATCGACCCTACAGCTCCAGCTGCTCGCAAAGCTTTCATCCTGCAAGACTCGAATGCTCAAATCTTACTGACATCCAAGTCTATCCGTGCAGAATTAAAGGATTTAACTGATTGCAAAATCATCGATCTCACCAACCTGAAAGGGAAGAGTTCTCCATCAACAAAAACGTCTCCTGTCTCGATATCAGGTCTCTCTCCCTCATCTGTCAGCTATGTTCTGTACACTTCGGGAACAACAGGAACACCTAAAGGCTGTGAAATTACTCACGACAATGCCGTTCAGCTGATCATGGCTTTCAAACGTTTATTCAAGGGTAGATGGACCGACGAATCTCGTTGGCTACAGTTCGCATCGTATCACTTCGATGTCTCAGTCTTAGAGCAGTTCTGGACTTGGATTGTTGGCATGCGTTTAGTATGTGCTCCTCGTGACCTCATCTTAGAAGACATCATGGGCTTCCTCGATACTATGCAGATCACTCATCTGGATCTCACTCCATCCCTGGGCAGACTGCTTGATCCTGCGCTGGTTCCTAGCTTACACAAGGGAGTCTTCATCACTGGTGGAGAGTCACTCAAGCAGGACCAGATCAACACATGGGGAGATATCGGCTGTCTTTTCAACTTCTACGGCCCCACAGAATGCACAATCGGTGTCACTGTGTTCCCCTGTGTGCCTAACGAAGGAAAGCCGTCCAACATCGGCTGGCAATTTGATAATGTTGGCTGCTACGTATTGGCCCCTGGCTCTCAGACTCCTGTACTGCGTGGTGCTGTTGGCGAGCTCTGCATCTCCGGAACGCTTGTAGGCAAAGGCTACCTGAATCGTCCTGAGCTTACTGCAGATTGCTTCCCATATCTGGACGCCTTCGGTGAGCGAGTCTACCGCACCGGTGACCTAGTCCGACTTTTCCACGATGGTTCTATCGATTTCCTGGGACGCAAAGACAATCAAGTGAAGCTGAGGGGACAAAGACTCGAGATTGACGAGATTGAGGCGGTGATCAAGCGTTGCCAAGACATTCAGGACACCGTCTGTGTTGTCGCCAAACATCCAAAACAGCAGAAAGATCAGCTTATTGCATTCATCGGCATCCATGAGTCTAGGAAGCAAGGCAAATCAGAACTGTGTGCCGCGGAATCGACCATTCATCTTTTACAAGCGGCCCGCGCAGCCTGTGAAGAGCACTTGCCTGGATATATGGTGCCTACGCATTTCCTACCCATCCAGAGGATTCCCTTGTCAGTAAACAACAAAGTTGAGGAGAAGCTCCTTCGTCAGCTCTACGCGGAGCTGTCTACCAATGCTATCCAGGCTTATGCTGTGCAAGCCGAAACTCAAGAATATCTCGGAGCTGGAGAGCAAACGATTGCTCGCGTCTTAGCAAAGCTGTTGAGAATTGAAGAGAACGACCTGAAATCTTCTTCAAATATCTTCACCTTGGGGCTGAACTCTATCTCCGCTATCCAATTTTCCAGAAAGCTTAAAGCCAATGGCTTCTCGAACGCGCAGGTGGCCACCATCTTGAAGAACCCGACCATCGCGAAGCTGGCAAAAGCACTTACTGTGTCGACCAGTACTTCCGATGGCGAGGTATTTGCTGCTAAACAAGTCATTTTCGCGACTCGACAGAGGCATCTTGGCACTGCTGCCCATATTTTACGTTGCAAGGTGGACGATATCGAGACGATCGCACCCTGCACGCCTCTCCAGCAGGGCATTATTTCCCGGTCGCTTGCGAGTGAGACCGCACTCTACTTCAATACATTCCGATACAGTGCTCAAGGTGTCGACCTAGGAAGACTCGAGATTGCTTTCAACCAAGCGCAGGAGCGGACACAGATCTTACGTACGTTCTTCATCGAGACTGATGACGGTTATGTGCAAGTCGTACGGAAAACCGGCCACCTGCCCTGGTGGACGCTCGAAACCTACGATCTAGCGTCTGTGGACAGTGTCTTTGCCAAACGCAAGCAGAAATGGCGGTCATACAATACTCCTCACCTCACTGTGCCTTTTGAGATTGTGGTTGTTCGCTCTGGTTCGGAAACCTTTGTATCAGTCGACATGCATCACGCGTTTTATGATGGCAACTCTTTCGACATGTTGATGGACAATGTTTTCCGGCTCTATAATTCCCAAGACGCTGACTTTGGCAAGTCATTCGTTGACTGTTTACCCTTCGGTCCGCTACGTAACGTCCAAGGCGCCAAATCATTCTGGCTCAATCACCTTTCGGATGTTGCACCGACGTCGATGCGCCCACTCACAGATAGCGAGGCGAGTGGGGATGTTCTTTGCACAGCCAGCCTTGAAGTGTTGAACCAGGCAGACGAGCTACGTCGCTCCCTTGGTGTGACTATACAAGCATTGGTCCAGGCAAGTTGGATGGTCACTCTTCGGAAGTATCACGCAGGCGCGGTCGGTACCGTTGTTTCTGGACGTTCCGTCGACTTTGACGGTATCGAAAAGGTGATCGGACCTCTGTTCAACACCATTCCATTCTACTTGAGATTTCAGCCTGGAGATTCATGGCAGACACTCATACAAAGATGCCACGATTTCAACACAACTGCTCTACCATATCAGCATACGCCTTTGCGCGACATCATGAAGTGGTGTAACAAAGGACGTTCAGAGCCACTCTTCGATACGCTGTTTGTATATCAGGGCACGATCACATACTCCGACGAAGATGCCCCAATTCTCAAGTCTCTTGAAGATGGCCACTTTGAAGCCGATTACCCGTTGTCTTTTGAAGCGGAAGAAGCAGCTGATGGCAAACTAAGTGTCACTGTTGCTGCTAAAGCCTCAATATGTGATAACATTAAGGCTCGGGCATTGATTGATGAATTTTGTCAAGCATTCTCAGCCATGACAAAGTCCTCGGAAGCAGACGCCGGCGTTAGTATTGGTCACATATTCAAACATGGCACTGAGGTCGTCAACGGTAGGAACGTCAATGATCGACCAAAGAATTTGACCGCTTTCGATTGGACACCTGAGGCATCTGTGATCAGATCGGAGATGGCATCTCTTGCTGGTGTAGGGGAGAATGAAATCGATGAGAGCACTTCTATTTTCGAAGTCGGTCTGGACAGCGTAGACGCCGTCAAGCTTTCTTCACGTCTCAAGAAGAAAGACATGCCTTTGCCTGTCAGCACTATCATGCGTTCGCAGACAATTGCTCGCATGGTCTCGACTCTGTCAAGTACCAAGAGAGACACTCCGAAGAAGACGTCAGGGGACACAATCCAGACCCTAGGAACCAAACTTGTCGCATATGCTCATGAAAAGCTCGGCAGTGATGTTTCTGTCGAACGCATTCTACCAGCCAGCCCCATGCAGGAGGCATTGGTCTCAGAAATGATCAGATCATCGTACAACGCCTACTTCAACCACGATGTGCTGAAGGTGCCCAAGAGTGTCGATCTCAAAAAGCTTCAGAAGGCATGGGAGACCGTCATCGAAGCCTCACCTATCCTCCGGACTGGCTTCCTTGAGATCGAAGATCCAGATCTGAATGCTACCTTCGCCCAAATAATCCACAAAGACATAGGAATACACAAATCCGAGCTGGACGTCATTGAGCTATCTAATGAAGATGCCATCAACGAGTATCTGAATCACATTAGCTCCAGTGTAGCGTCAAGGGCTTCGGTCGAACCGCAGTTACGTTTGACATGGGCGACTACTCCTGAGGACAGTTACCTTGTGTTCTCTATTGCTCATGCTCTCTACGACGGTCACAGCCTCTCCCTGCTACACCAAGACGTCCTCGCTGCTTACCGCAATAATTTTGAGCCACGCCCACCTTACGCCGACATATTGAGTGAGACATTCTTCGGTACCGATGAGGAGGCCAAAAATTACTGGCGCAATCTCTTGACTGAGGCGAAAAAGACCCAACTTCCACTGAGAGAAAGCACGGAGGCTTCGCAGTCAGTCATTCATCGCGTGGAAAAGACAAGTCAGTATGCCGCAGAGAATCTCTCGTTATTCTGCAAACAGCAGGGAGTAACTCTGCAAGCCGTTTGCCAGACGGCATGGGCTTTTGTTCTTGCTCAGATGGTACAATCGTTAGACGTCATGTTTGGTGTTGTCTTGGCTGGTCGTGATAGCGAACTTGCTGAAGAAGTTATGTTCCCCATGATGAATACAGTCATCATGCGATCTGTCCTTCATGGCTCGCGCAAGGATGTGTTGCAGAGCATACAAGCGACAATCTCCGATATCACCCATCATCAACATTTCTCTCTGCGTCAAATTCAGGCTGCTTGTCAAGGACAAGTGGAAGCATCACCAGGCCAAACAGATGCTCTTTTTGACACGCTCTTCACCTTCCAAAGGCGACCAGGCTCAGCGGAGCCAGAAACTCAAACACTTTATGAGTCTGTCAACGGCGCCTCTGCGGTCGAATATCCTGTGGCTGTTGAGGCTGAAATCATTGATGGCTCATTGATTTGGCGAATTGCTTGCAAGAGTAGCGCTTTCGACGAGCTTGGCGCGACTCAACTCCTTAAGACACTCGACGCTATCTTGGGAAGAATTGTTACAGAGCCTCAAGATCCCACACTTGCCTTCATGGGTCAAGAAGTCAGCATATGCGGTCTACCGGCATTCCAGAAGCGAGCAGACACAGGCGCGAAGCAGACGGCAGGAACCGCAGACGATATCATCGAGGACGAAAACGCCTGGTCTGACGCTGAGATCATTATCCGGGAAATCATCGGCAAGGTGACCAAGACTCCAGAGGCGGAGATATCGAAGACAGTATCTATCCAGAACCTTGGTGTTGACTCCATCAATGCTATCAAAATCTCGGCCTTGCTACGTAAGCAGTCTATCCGGGTGACAGTCAGCGAGATTGTTCGCGCGGGTACCATCGCCAAGATTGCGGCAGTGGTGCAGAAAAAGCAGACGAGCAAGATTGCCAAACCTAGTGGTGATACTGCTAAGATCATAGCCAGTCTTATGGCACAAAAGGGCTTCACGTCTGATAAGTTCGGCTATGAGGACCAAAAGGTAGAACAAGTTCTGCCAGCGACTGCGGGTCAAGTTTACATGTTGGGCGCATGGCAAGCGACGCAAGGTCAACTTTTCTATGGAGAGTTTGAATTTGTCACTACCGTTTCGACCCGCGTGAGCAGTATCAAACAAGCATGGGAAAAGCTTGTATCTGACAATACAGTACTACGCACGGTCTTCGTGGCAACTCAAGACAAGGAAATACCGTTCTTGCAACTCGTGCCACGCGACGCTCCTGCTTCATTCATTGACCTGGATAACGAAGAGGAGCTCTCACCTGAGCTGAAGCAACCATTTGTCCGTCTGACAGCGCGGAAGGACAACAACAGCTACAAGTTGTGTCTGAAGATTCACCATGCGCTCTACGACGCTGTGAGCTTGTCATTACTGAGTCAGACTCTGAGTAGCTACCTTGAAGGCTCTACTCAGGGTGTCAGCCCGAGTATCACGTTTGCCGACTTCATCACTCAACCTCTAGGCACAGCCGAGCAGGCGACGAAGAAGAAGTTCTGGACAAGCTATCTACAGGATACACAATATCCCCATCTCGAGTCTGATACCGCGTCATTCTCTCGCCACATCGAGGTCTACGAACCTCGTGCCATGTCTAACATATCCGACGTCGAGAAGGCATTGAGGAAACAAGGACTCAGCCTCCAAGCAGTCTTCTTTGCCGCGTACGCCAGGGCATACAGCTACAACACAGATCCTACTGCCGAAGACGTGGTCCTCGGCATCTACCTGGCCAATCGTTCGCACCTAGACGATTTATCTGCCCTTGCAGCACCGACACTGAATCTCGTACCTTTACGCACCCGCACGCCTACAAAGACGTCGCTTGCGGAGCTTGCAAAGCAGATACAGAAAGATCTGCAAGCCATCGGTACGCCTGAAAATAGCAGTGTTGGGCTCTGGGAGATTAAAGCATGGACTGGGGTGACGGTGGATACGTTTGTCAATTTCGTAAAGGTGCCTGATAACGATATGGACGCTGCCAAGAAACAAGCGATCATCATGGATAAAAAGGCAGAAGAGCATCGGACTGAAAAGCGTAGTCATGTTTCCGATGCTACTGAAAGTGGATTCCTCGTACCTAAGGAGCTGCAGCATGAGGTATTGGAAAAGACGTACAAGGTCAGTAGTCTCCCACGTACCATGTTTCCAGATACAATTACTGATAAGGTGCAGCGATCATTGGATATTGAGGCGACTGTCGCGGACGGCGCACTTGGTATTGGTGTCTTTGGATGGGATGACATGATGGACCTAGAGCAAGCCGAAGGCTTGATCGAAGAGCTCAAGATCGAGATTGAAGGAGTGCTCGAAGGTTAGAAAATGCAAGCAATCGTCAGGAGGGAAGTTGTTGGTGGTGGAGGCAAAAAATTGTACAGTTGGAGGAGCATAACTGAAGACTTGGGTGGAGAGGAAACCGGCGTTGATTGCAATTTGGTCGTTGTGTGGAGAATCTAATTTTATGCATGTTATCGATTTCAGATACTTCTCGTGAACAGGGAGTGCGATATGTTGCCAAAAAGAGCTGATAGCAATTCCACAAGCACAGGTGTTGATGGTCAGGGAGGCAGACCGTCGAAAGTCGTAATAACAGGAAGAAGAAGCAGGGGCTTAGCGGAGAAGGATAATTGAGTTGTCAGCATTTCGATGCTACTCTGTGCCGTCTCGCTTCACCAGGCTCCACTTCCATACCATGCCCTAATTCGTTCGTTAGGGCTCAGTGCACTCGTGACTACCGAATGACAAAAAATGAGTACTAGAGGGGTTCCTTGTGGGGAGACCAGCGGCACTCGGCCGAGATGTGGGGAACCTCTGCGGGGATTCTGGGGCACAATGGTCATTAGACTTTACGCTCCTGCCTTTCCACGACATCGACATGTTGATCGTGCGTCTGGCTAATTACAATCGTGGGGAATGCTGTCACTTCGAAGGAGCTTACAGCACATTGGTTGCATTGAGTCTACCGTTCCACGTCGTTCGATGTGCCGACGAGAGAGGTTGAGAAAGCATGGTCTAGACCCTGGAAGTATTTAACGACACGTGGGAAAAGTCTATACGATGGCATGCTTGATATAAAGTCTGCAGCAGCCAGTCTGGAGAAACTTATCACTCACAAACCAACAATATGAAATTTTCATCTGCCATCTCAGCCTTGACCGCTCTGGTCTCGGTGTGTAGCGCCGCTGCTACCACCAAAGCAATCTCCGCCTCCGTGACCTTCGATAACAACAGGAGATTCCTGTTTGATACAGATGGTCGACAGATTGATGCCTATGGCTCCAAGATCAACAACTTCAATGGCAAATACTATCTTTACGGAAACTCTTTTTCAGAGACCGGAGTGGCTTACGGTATAAAGTCGTACTCTTCGAGCGATCTACAGAATTGGTACGCTGTCAATGAGTCAACTGGCCTGATGATCTGCTGATGGCATTGCAACAGGCAATACGAAGGACTGTTGTTCGATCCTGCGAGCAAGTCTAGCCCTTGTTCGGGTTCCGGAGGCTGCGGTCGACCTCACATAGTGTACAATCCCAACAAGAAGTCATACGTGCTCTGGGCAAACGCTGGAGAAACTGGCTACGTCGTTGCGACATCATCGTCACCGAGTGGACCTTTTGTCTTCTCAGCAGCCAAGGCACTCATCGATCCAGCTTTCAATGGCTTGCAGCCAGCCGATTTCACCGTTGAGGTCATTGACGGTACAGGTTACATTGTTTTCTCCGCCTTGAACTTCAGAAGTCCTAACGCCGGCAATGTGTGGCCTCCAATCTTCCAAAACTTGCATGTCAGCAAGTTGACCGCAGATTTCATGAACACGACTATGGTCAGCTATCCCGTTAGCTCAGGAGCTGCAGACTTGATCGACAACGAAGCAGAGTCGCCGGATATCTTCAAGCAGGGCAACACCTTTTATGTCGCAGCCTCGAACACTTGCGGATACTGCAATGGATCGATCGCTCTGTTGTATCGCGCAAATTCGATCCAGGGACCCTGGACACGCCAGATTCTCGAAGGCTACTCCTGCAATGGTCAAGTTGAAGGTGTTCTCCCTCTGACAAACCCTTCGACTGGTGCTGTGACCAATGTCTGGCATTCGACTTCTGTTCCTGGAGGCCCTCGCACAGGATTCGGCGGTCATATTTTCCAGCCTCTTACCTTCAATACTGATGGCAGCGCCAAGAACCTTGATTGCTCGACCACTGCTACCTTCCCTGTCACCTTTACCAAGGGCAACGGCACCGCAGCTGCAGGCAACGCCACCAAAGCAGGAGATGCCACTCCAGCGCTGGCAGTATACAACCCTGTCTGCGACTCCGACTCGTTCATCCTGTACCAGACTTGGACAGCTTCGAAGAGCGGTACCATCAAGAGTGTGTCCCTCAATGTTGCACGCGGCTCCCAAACTGTGCCTCTCACCCTCACTGTCTTCAAGCTTTCTTCACTCAACGACCTCTTCACGCCCGAATATAAATGGACACAGCTAGGCACCGCAGCTTTCAACGCCAACCAGACCACCTACACCTTCGACACCGTGACCGTACCAGTAACGACCAATGCTACAGTCAGCAAAGGAGAGCTACTTGGTTTGTCGATCTCGGGCGCCGATTATTCGCCCTGGTGTCATTTGGAGTACCAGACGACTTCTGGTTGTGGATTCAAGTTGTACCAGCAGGGTAATGGGCAGTATTCTTGGCGCGGATTACAGGGAAAGAATGCGCCCGTGTATGAGAGGCAGGGCAAGAGTGTCAAGTTTTTCGCGACGTATGCTTGATCATGTCGCATAGATCAGCAAACATGAATACCGTAGTTGTCTAATGAACACTCTGATCCAGTATTTTTGCGATGCCACGGGAGTTAAAAGTGGGAGATTGTGTCGGTCACCCAAGCTGCCGGCTCGCCGTGCGCTCGTCATGAGACTTTATCGACGGCGCGTATTTGGTCCGTTCTGTTCGTCATCACAGCCTGGACGTCTATACCATCGAAGTCGCTTGCAAATGTATAGCAAGTCTTTGGTAAGCATATTAGAGTGTGTAAGCGATCAAGCATGCGACGGTGTCGATGTTATGGTGATTACCAATCCTCAGGGCGACAGAAGAGCGACCCACCGAAGACAGCCATATCGGGCGTTGCAACGTTTGAGCTTTACCATTCACGCAATCTGCTTTTCGCCTCACCCATTTGCAGTCCACGGCCGCGACTCAACGTTGGCATGCGGAAGGATTCCCTGCTTCTATCGATGAAAAACATTGAGTAGACGGCGAATCGGTCACGGGGGTGACGATGTTCCAAGTACACAGAACCACCAAATTTGGCAGCTTCGTTTAGTACCTCTCTCTTTCAAAGCAACACAACATAACGCACACACAAGAAAGGTTAGTAGAAAGATCTCGAGGTTGAACTTATATGCTTAAGCTATCTTTGCAATCTTTTCTGGTAAGATAATCCTAAGTTTGGTGTTACTGAATTATGTCAAAGATGGTGGATATTTGCGTGTACTCGGATTTCTGTTACCCCCGTGATCGGTCAATTATGCACGGAAAGGATTGCAAAGCCCGGTCCGGAGCCGCATGATTGGATTGTCAGCCGGCGCCAATCTGACGCCGAGGGACTGTTTTGGTTGTAAACGAAAGAGTTTCAACCTACGGACTTTTTCTAATTCGCGTTCATATATGTTTGTAGATATCCCCAGGTAGGTCGTGTCTTTTCCATACCGCTACATCCGTTCGTCTACCCGCTGCAAACACAGGCTCATCACACGCACATATCTTCCTCTTTACAGCACCAAACCAAATCACATTGTCGCGGAGGTACACTCAACCAATTCCACAGACGTCAACACTACAAAAATGTCGCATGTTGTTATCATCGGCGGTTCCTTCGCAGGGACTAAAGTCGCACATAAAGTCCTCAAGGAAACGCCAAACTCAAAGGTCACTCTTATCGACCCGTCTGATGTCTTCTACTTTAATATCGCCTCGCCGCGAATCATCGCCAAGCCCAAGGAAGCCAAAGTCGATCAATACTTGATTCCCATCATGGACAAGTTCAAGCATTATCCTGCCAGCAGATTCACGTTTGTCCAAGGTCTTGCAAGCTCTGTCGACACTTCTGGAAAGATTGTGCACGTAGAAGGTGGCAAAGAGATTGCATACGACTATCTGGTTGTCGCGTCTGGCTCAACAACGCCTGGAACTGTTGGTAGGGAAGCTATTCCATTCAAGACTACCGGCGCAGATATTCGCGAAAAGATTGAAGCGGCTCAGAAGCGAGTGGCAGCCGCTGACAGCATTGTTATCATTGGAGCAGGACCTGTGGGTGTTGAAAGCGCCGGCGAAATCGCTCAAGCCTACCCCAAGATAAAGGTTACTCTGATCTCCTCACATGCACAAGTCCTTCCCGATCTCAAAGCCTCTGCCGCAAAGTCAGCACACGCGAGTCTGGAAAACCTAGGTGTAAAGATTGTTTACTCTGCACGTGTCACCGAGTCGAAGCAAGACGCTTCTACTGGTAGATTCATCGTCTCTCTCGACACTGGCACGACCATTGAAGCTGCACTGGTCATTTCCGCAGCAGGGAACATCGCAAACACTTCTTTCATGCCCCAAGAGTCCCTGGACAAAGATGGCTGGATCAAAGTCGACAGGAACATGCGTGTCTCCACCATCGCTGATAACTCCGTATATGCGCTCGGAGACGCAACAATGTTCAAGCAACGTTACATGCTGAAGATCAACGATCAGATCCCTGTTGTAGCCAACAACCTCAAGAGCGCCATCACGAAGTCTGGAAATGCAAAGACGTACGATGCCAACGACAAACTCATGGTATTCGTGCCCATCGGAAGCAAGGCTGGTACTGGGCAGGTTGGGGGGTTCGTACCATTCAGCTTTATGGTCGCGTTCGCAAAGGGCAAGGATTACTTCATGAGCAGGGCTGCCACTTTCATCACTGCTTGAAATATTCTTTCCAGTCCTTTTGTCAGTCTTGTCTTTGTTTTGAGGTTTCCGGTCTTTCCATAGCGTGCGATATCCAATACCATCTTAGTCATAAAATATCGCGTAATGTATCTCATCCTGCTTTTCCATAATTATATCGTTGCCAGGAAGTCTGAGGGCTCAGGCTGTACCCCGCCCTAGCTTACAATTTGCCTAAAGCATACGGAGTAGGTGAGAGAACATTCGTCAAGAGAACAATGTACATCGTCATTGCTGTAGCCATAACAGAAGTAGGGATCGCGTGAAACAGCGAAGTTGAAGTTTGACTGCTGAGTAATCACTGTCACTGGCCGTACAAGCTGCCGTCCACGCAATCCCTCCATCTTTCCTGCAACGACGTTGGACCAGCTTCATGTTTGACGGCTGAGAACAATGTTGACCATTTTAGCCGTCTTCCCTGTCCAGCCTCAATGATCTGGAGCTTGGTCACCTCCGCTTTGTTGGCAATCGCTCAAGCTTCATCAACTCAACCTGAAACTCGACCATCACTGTTCAGCCGACGGTGACGCGGCCCGGCCAGCCATCTCCGCAGACGAGGAGGCAACAGGGTGCGTCCTTCTAGTTATCCCCACGACAAAGCGTGTGCAAACGGTGTATCCGGATTGCGAAGCACCCAAAGCCTGTCACGACGTCGTCGCCGAACGCCGTACTGTACCGATCGTGCGACATACAAAGAGACTCGAAAAACTACAACGGAGCTTTGTGATACACATATCCACGAACCAATGACACACTTACCATGCAGCTGTCAAGTCGATCAAGCCTCCTCGGCCGAGTTAAAGTTATACAAGCTTTGGCGATGGTGTCTCAAACGCAAACCATGCTAGATCCGGAGCGACAATTTCAGAGGCAATCAATGCTTCTTGGATAGGTACATGCTGCTTTCTCGACCAGTACACTTTCTGCAACGAAGCCTACGAATTTAGCCATGGAACTAGAGATACGTCTTTCCTATCCTTATAGACGCATGCATATTGCATGGCGTCAAATGGTAGGACTAAAAGTCAGTGATGGCGGGACAAGCTGGTATGCAGAGGTTCCCGTCCCGCGTTCGTAAGTTTTATGACTTTGTATTCAAAAGATGAGCCCCCGAGCTGGCTATATAAGATGGGGGATAGTCCTCCTCTAACATGCTTTTCCCCCCAGAGATCCCCATCACTCAAGCTTGACATCATATCTCATCACTATTAAACGCTACCTCACTGCCCACCATGCTTCTCAGTACCTTCCTCCTCGCCATCACGGCTTGCACCTCTTCCGCATATGCAGCCCAAGTAGCATACGCTCAGTGTGGCGGTCAAGGCTTCACAGGTGACAAGACTTGCGTCTCCGGCTACACCTGCGTAGCAAGCAACAACTACTACTCGCAATGTCTACCTTCCGCCAACACCGCCCGTGTGTCCACCTCCAAAACCTCTGTCGCACCTGTCTCGACATCAAAGGCTGCAGGTAGCGGTGGCAGCGGCAGTGGTACAACCTACAAAGCCTCGTTTACCCAATACGGCAGCGGCGATACCTTTGGCAGTGGCAATTGCAACACCAAGACCACCGCTTGTGGTTTTTATACCAGTGTAAGCTTTTTTAGCTCTTTCC